CTTCTCCTGCATCTTCTTTCTGCACCTCCAGCCCTCAGATGGGGAGAGTGAAAGGATCCAGAAGTGATTTTTGGAGAATTGAGCCAGGTTTCAGTTAAGACCAGGAGGGGGAGAGAGGAGTCTGAAAATGATGAGGTATAGTAGTTTGCTGACAATGAATGATGCTACAGTATGCCGTATGCCGTTGGGAAGGTGAACAAAAGTGGGAGATCCCAGGGCCAAGTAAGCACAGAAGAAAAGAAACAAGGGACCAGAAATGAGAGGGGAGGAAAGAAGGTAGATTTCACTTTTTGGTAATTAAGTCTCATAGAAAGAAGAAGCCCAGTTGAAAGTGCCTGACAGGGTTAGGATGAGACAAGTGGGCACTACCTGAGGCACAAAATTTACAGGCATGTGTCACTGTGCCCGGCTTTAATGCAAAAAACAAAATTTAAAAATCAGTGTTAAAATCATGAAAGTCCATGAAAACCACATTTCAGAATGTTACATGAGCCAGGCACGGTGGTGCACACCTATAATTCCAGTGACTTGGGAGGCTGAGGCAGGAGGATGGTGAGTTCAAAGCAGCCTCAGCATTTTAGCAGGCTCTAAGCAACTCAGCAAGACCCTGTCTCAAAATAGAACATAAAAAAGACTGGCGATGTTGCTCCGTGGTTAAACACCTCTGGGTTCAATCCCTGGTATTTAAAAAAAAAAAAAAAAACAGTTACATGAACACAGGCAGTTTGTGTTACAACTCTGAGTCATTATGCAAAGGGAACAGCCATTTCCAACCAGCCTGCATGCAGTTCCCAGACCCCGCCTACCAAGTCCCTGACAGGAGGGTTTATGAGAGTTGACAATGGTATACAAACAGACTGAGTAATGCAGGACTTTCTGTATTGTCACGTTTAGACACCATTCAATGTGGGAAGAAATTCTGATAAGTGTGCAAAGAGGTCCATATTTCTCTTTTTTGTCTCAGACTCTAGTATGGCTCAGCAGAGTCCTGGTTCCTGACCTCAGATGTCTTAACCTAAATCACTCTATGCCATGAGTGATTGAGGGCCCAGGCAAAAGTGACCTGGTCTCGGAAGATTTCCCAAGACTGTGAGAGCCCTGTTCAAAGGACAGGGCTGAGCCACAAAGTCCCGAGCAATGGAAGACTCATGGCCAGTAGAGGGGGTCACACATATTTGTGGAGATGTTGAGGGGTCCACAGATCCTGGGGAGAGAATCCTAAACACCTGCACTCAGGGCAAGACACTGAGAAGTGCAGGAAATGCACAAATTTAGATCAGTCAATATATCAGAGCAGAAACCAACAATGAAGAAAGTAGGTAGGTAATAAGAGACAAAACCAACTACTAAAACCCTGGAAGCCAAGAAACTGGAACAGAAATCTGCTCTCAAATACTGGGTCATCAGGATCTGAGAGCAGTCCATAGCAAGGTGACATCATACTTAGTATTTTTCCATGCTTCCCAGAGTGAGGATCAGGCTCAAGGTACACAGAGAGGCCAAGACTCCAGTTATGGAGTGAAAGCAGGTAAAAGGCTTACCGCAGGGGGCGGGGGAAGATCTTGAGCCACACCTGATTCCAAAAATGTACACACCAAGTGCTTCATGAGCCTTGTTTCAAGTGGGATTGAAATTTCAGAATCCAAGTGTTGGAGTCTTGTGTTCAAAAAGCAGCTCTATGGGACTGGGAAGGACATTACTTTCAGAGTCAAGAGACTGGTCTCTTTGTTCAAGTATGATCTTGGACAAGTGATTGGGTTTCCATTGCCTCTTCAGAATGAGGCTGATGATACCTAATTAGCTACATAGATGTCAGAATCCAGACCCACCACTGTTAAGTGAAAGAACTTGGGAAAAAAGCAACCTGCCATTAAAATGTATAGTCGGGGCTCAGCTGTAGAGTGCTCACTTAGCACAGGCAGGACCCGGGTTCGATTCTCAGCACCACATAAAAATAAAGGCATTGTGTTGTGTCCATCTACAAAAAAGATATTCTCTCTCTCTCTCTCTCAAAAATAAAAAATGTATAGTGTCTTTTTTTTTTTTTGTAAACTACATTGACATCTGTCTCTGGCTAAGTTAACCCTCAAACTCACCCACTCCTTCATTCTTGCATAAAATAATTAAGAGTCTACCATCTGCAAACAACACTACACCAGATATTTGTTGACGGATCATTTGGTTGGTAGATGTTTGAAAAATATGAGTTTTGCAGCTGTGGGCTTCTGGTTAAAAAAAAAAAAAAACTTCCTTCCCCTATTTCCTGAGTAACTCCAGGAACAGTCAGTAGGTTCTGGTGCTATCACACTGCATTTAGGAGTACTGTATACAACTCTCCCTTTCATAGGTGGTAATGCAAAATAACTTGAGAATGCCTACCATAAGCTATTTTTAATTAGCCTAACATTCATGAAATCTGATCCCTCTTTGCTAAAGAGACCAACAGGTAGCTCACTAAACTTTCAAACCCAGAAATCTGAACACTTAGAAATAATACCACCAGGGCTGGGGATGTGGCTCAAGCGGTAGCGCGCTCGCCTGGCATGCGTGCGGCCCAGGTTCGATCCTCAGCACCACATACCAACAAAGATGTTGTGTCCGCCAAGAACTAAAAAATAAATATTAAAAAATTCTCTCTCTCTCTCTCTCTCTCTCTCTCTCTCTCTCTCTCTCTCTCTAAAAAAAAAAAAAAAGAGAGAGACACAAATACCTTTTTAAAAAAATAAAAGAAATAATACCACCAGCTGGACATGGTGGTGCACACCTGTAATCTCAGTGGCTTGGGAGGCTGAGGCAGGAGGATTACAAGTTCAAAACCAGTCTCAGCAACTTAGTGAAGCCCTAAACAATTTAGCAAGACCTTGTTTCAAAATAAAAATTTTTTTTTTAAAAAAAGGGATAGGGATGTAACTCAGAGGATAAGTGCCCCTAGGTTCAATCCCTGGTACCAAAAAAAAAAAAGAAAGAAAGAAGAAGAAATAATACCACCAAAGAGCTCTAAACAGAGTAGATGAAAGGGAATGTTTTACGCCATGAATTCCTCTATAACTGATCATATAAATTGCATGTGCTGTTTATGATTTTATTTGAAACCTTAAGAAGGCAGAATATGGCAAATAATTGGGGATATAGCTCAGTGGTAGAGTGCATGAAAGCATGAGACTGTATTTCATCCCTAGCATTACCAAAAAAAAATAGCTTTGTAATAGCTTGTACTAGTTCAGTAATATGGATTTGTTGGGAAGCTTATGAGTGAAAATGGAATTGGGAATAATTTTGGTTGAAATTATATTAATGATATTTGTTAGCACTTTCAGATGGGCTTGGACAAACTATTCTTGTGACCAAAAAATTTATTTCAGTACATATTACTTGACTATTGGTGTAATGCAAACTGAAAATGTCAACATGATGCTACTTCAGAATAAAACAGGGCCTAGACAGATTTTTTTAAAAAAAAAAAAAAGGAAGAAGAAGATGGTACATTATATTTCTGTGGGGTTTTTTTCCTTCTGATATCCTTTCATGTCCAGATTTACTTGACTCACAATAAAAATATAAAACACTGTTCTTTTCAGAAACTCCTCCTATTTCCACATATTGGCATCCATTGATGGATAAGATGCAAGAAATTGACACACAACTGATAAAATTTTAACCAAAGGATTATAATTAGGAAAAAGAACTGCCTTTTGGGCACCAAATACCTGGAAGTGGCTAATGTGTGAAGATGAAAATTTCAGTGTTTAAAGAAAGCCAGGTTAAAGCAAACATATTCAATGGATTTTGACTGTGTGGCTCTCATGATGTTTCAGTCAACTGTAGAAGTTCCATAGGCTGAGAGAGAAAAGTCTCAAGATATGCAACAGATAAGTCCCTTTCTTCCTTCCTCCTAAAGTCCTGGAGGTACTTGGAAAGTCCTGGAGGTACTTGCTGGTGGTAGTAGAATGACACTCAAATTATAAACCTGGACTATTTTTATGAATCAATTATTGTAACAAGGTTAGGAAGGGCAAAAACCAATGGAGAGATAGATCAATAGAGATTTAGCAAAGAAAGGTAAAATTTCTGGATATGATAGTTGTCAATTAGATCCCTTACAATGATTACTAAAGCGAGCTGAGCTTGTTTGATTCAACAAAAGTTAATCCCTAAGATTTCTAGATCTAGCTTTTTCTTGAGGTATCATTCACATAAGAAAAAGAGGTGGGGGAAATTCACCAACTGCAGTAGACAGGGCTGATGGCTTCCTGTACTTGATTCTCAAGGATGCAATGTGAATCTCAGAATCTCTGAAAGACAAAACTCACAGGCTTTATGCTTCAATTCAGCAAACACTTGCATGAAATCACAGCTCACCCATCACGTTCTCTCGGAAATCATCCATCACCTCCTTCCCCCAAAATGGGTTTAGGGGATCCTTGTCTATAGACCCACAGAAGCTTGAGACGAAAATGATGACAAATAGCAGCTACCTCTTACTGAGCACTCACTATGCCCCAGGCACTCTGCTGAGTGCTTCACATGCTTTATTTTATGTATTCAGCACAGCATCTTATTATAGGGACTATTATTAGCTGCATTTTCACAGATGAGGATAAGAAACTAAGTAGCTTGTCAAGATTGTACAAGGAGTCACTCCCACGACGATGATAATGTATTGTGGCTGCCTATTTTTCTGCTTTCCTCACTGAACCTTATGCTGCTAGAAGACAATAGCTGTGCTTTCTTCACTCTTGTCTCCCTGAGGTTTAACCATTGCCCAAGAAGGTGTAGCTCAGTGGTAGAGTGCTTGCCTTGCATGCATGAGACCCTGGGTTCCATTCCCCAGCACTGCAAAAAAAAAAAAAAAAAAAAACTCTTGCCCAATGCACAGGGGATATGTATCATACAAAATAACTCAATTCATATTTCCTATCTCTCAAATTAAAAACCTTGCAATCAGCCTTATACTTCACTTTCTATCATGCCCCACAGCCTTAGTTTTATTTTTTTTTTTTTTTCAAGAAGGGAAAAGGATTTATTAGACCATCTCCAGGACAGGGACCCAGGGCAGTGGCTGGGTTCAGTGTTCTTACACTCGGGAGGGTGGGCCTGGGGGGGTGGGGAGGCAGCAGTGAAGATGCACCTGCCTTCTCTCCTGATCAAAACAGCTTTGTGCTCACAGAAACCATCTCCTCCTCTTGCAAGGAAGACACAGGGCTCTGGATGCAAACCTAGGAGGGTGGGAATGGCTTTTCTTACTCTTCATCAGTCTGTTCTCAGCCAAACTTGGCTATAAAAGTAACTGGGGCCTGGCTACTCCCACTCCTTGACACTTCCAGGGGATTTTATCTTTATAAACAAGACAAATCAAAGCAGCATTAATTTAGGGAAACAAAAATAAAAAAGACATGGAGGGGCAGGAAAAGGAACTGGTCAGCATCCAGAAGAGAGAACTAGGAAGAACCAGTATCCACTGTGTGCCAGACTGTAGCGGAGCGTCATCTGCTGTGGAGGCCCTTTTCTTCCTGCTCCCTGGCTGGCGGCCAGACAGCAGAGGAGACACTGTGGTGACTTTAGGACGAGCCCTGGAGCCCTGTCTGGCCACCAGTGTAGGGAGTACCGTAGATGTGCCCCAATCAACCTCCCACCTTCACCTTCACCCATGTGAAGAAGCTTTTAACTCTCCTGTCCAAAGTCCTCTGAGAATTTCTTCACTTTCAGGAGGTCATCTGCATTCACTGTGGGCCGGGTGGTGGCCAAAGACCGGAGCATGTCCGACATGCAAACCACAGGCTCTAAGAGTTTGTCACTAGGAACATCCATCCAAGTCATCTCTATGGCCCCTGGGTCCCCTGGAGAGCATGGGGTCAGGAGGTCATCAATCACAATGCTAGGATTGGTGGGAGAAGGACCACAGACCTTCTTGAAGTGTGTTGCTGACTGCACTTTCCTGACGGGCTGCATAAGGGAGTCCCTCACAATGATGCTGATGTCTGCACCTGAGTAGCCTTCTGTCTTCCGGGCCAGCTCATGGATGTTGTGTGGAGGTTGTGTGGAGTGCTCCCAAGATGCAATCGGAACATCTGGGCACGGGCAGCTTCTTCTGGCAGTGGGATATAAATGCGCTTTTCAAACCTCCTTCTAATAGCTGAATCCAACACCCAGGGGATGTTTGTGGCACCAAGAACCAGAGTCCCATCATTGTTATTCCCCACCCCCTGCATTTGGACCAAGAACTCTGTTTTGATCCTTCTGGCAGCCTCGCTCTCATTTTCATTCCGGGACCCACAGAGAGAATCCACCTCATCGATGAAGATGATGGAGGGCTTGTGTTGCCTGGCTAGCTCAAAGAGATTCTTGACTAGCTTCTCACTCTCCCCCAACCACTTAGACATCAAATCTGAGGAGGACACAGAGAAGAAGGTAGAGTTGTTGGCCTCTGTTGCCACAGCCTTGGCCAGATAGGATTTCCCTGTGCCAGGGGGTCCAAAAAGCAGTATCCCTCGCCAAGGGGTACACTTGCCTGTGAACAAGTGTGGGAATTTAATTGGCAAAATGACAGCTTCTTTGAGAGCCTCCTTGGCCCCCTCCAGCCCAGCCACGTCATTCCATCGTATGTTGGGCTTCTCCATCACAACAGCACCCATCAGTTGTTCTTGCAATTACTTTTTCTCTGGATTATCCCCTTCACTGTCACTATCACCCTTGCCCTCACTTTGATTCTCTTTGACTGGCTTCTTGCCGTGTTTCTCTTTGTTTCGTAAATAATCCTTCAGCTTCTCTGCCCGGTCTAGGTACTGCACGCACTTGGCTCGAATGCTCTCCTTGGCCTTGTCACTGTGTGCCTCATACTTGATAGCGTGGAGGAAGTACTCCACAGCATGCTGGTAGAGCCTGAGTGCCTCCTCGTAGTTCTTGGCTTTATCCTCTTCTGTGGCTTTTGTCACCAGATCAATGGCTTTCTGGAGGGTTGACGTTGTCATTTCATCTCCTGGGTCCGCCCCACACCCCGAGGCGCTGTTTGCGACCTCGGTCCGACCCGGGGAGCCGAGGTGCTGGGTTCGGCGCGGGGAGCCGGGCGGGTCGGCGCTGGGCGCCTTAGTTTTAAACTATGTGCCAAATCTAACCACTTCCTACTACTTTCACCATCACCATCCTCATCTGAGTTACCATCACTGAGAAACTGATGTGACTCCATTTTTTTGAGAAACCAGCTTCTTCCTCAAGGCCTGTCCAGAGGGAGGGGGCGTGACCTTTGTCCTTGGAAAAACCCACAGAAGGCTCCTAGGCACACATCCACCCTGCTGAGTTGTTTAACAGGAGGGATCTGCAGCGCCAGGTGTCCCTGACTCAGTTACCCTAGGTGAGGACCCATAGCAACCCCCTAGCAACCACCAATCAGCATGAGACAGGGAAAATATCTGAAATGCCAGTTGACCCTCCCAGTAGTTTCGGTGATTGATAACATGATTAAGCCACCCTATAGTTTAGCATATACACTCTTGCAAACCCTCACAGCCTAAACCAATCAGTTCAAATGTGTCCACTACTTGAACTAACCAATCACCCTTACCCAACTTGTTCCCACCAGTGAATGTGCTAATCAATGTTAAGAGTTGTTTGATTTTCCCGTGGTATGAAATGATTTGCTGTGTGATGTTGTGACACATAGAGTATCCCAAAAAAACCTATAAATCCTCACTGAACTAAGGGTCGGGGCTCACTCCTTGGGACCGCTGTGTTGGAAATGGTTGTGAGTCCAGGCTTGAGCTTGCAATAAAAACTCTTGTGTGATTGCATCAGATTCGGCTCCTGGAGTTCTATTGGGGTCCCACAAATCTGCCATTACATCACCTCTCTCTTAAATTATTGTGAAAAACCAGTCTCTACCTCAGAGCAAAGCCTGTCCAAGGAAGGGACAGGACCTTTGTCCTTGGAAAGACCCACAGAGCACTCCTAGGCACATACCCACCCTGCTGAGTTGTTTATCTACAAATAACAGAAGAGATCTGCTCACCTGGTGTCCTGACTAGGTGAGGACCCATAGCAACCTGCTAGCAGCCACCAATCAGCATGAGACAAGGAAATACCTGGGATGCCAGATGACCCTCCCAGTAGTTTACGGTGGTTGATAACATGTTGGGAAACCATGTAGTTCAGCATGTACTCCTCTCTTGGTTAAACCAATCAGTTCAAATGAATCCCCTTCTTGTACTAGCCAATCACCCCTACCCAACTTGTTCCCACCAGTGACCGTGCTAATCATATTTTAGAGTTGTTATTTGATTTTCCCGTGGTGTGTGATGATTTGCTAAGAGATGCTATGATGTATGTGGGGTCCCTGCCTTCCCCAAAGAATGTATAAAACTGCTGCAAACCCTGGGCTCGGGGCCTCTCAGCATCACCAGTTGCTGTGTGCACGCGGAGGACCGAGCTAGCTCGCAATAAACACCTCTTTGCTGCTTACATCGATCTCAGTCTCTGGTGGTCTTTTGGGGGTCCCGAATTTGAGCATAACAATTGCAACAACCTTTTACTGGTCTCTGCACTTTGGGACCTTGTCCTCACTTGTGCTGTAAAAACTTAAAGCAGATTCTGTCATTCACTGCTAAACCATCAAATAGCTTCCCATCTCACTCAAAGGAAAAGCCCAAGGTCCTAAAAGACGCTCCAGGAACTGGCCCCATGAGCAGTCGTCTGTGTTTCCTATCTGTCTACCTCACTACCTTGCTCTTGGGGGACTGGGGATGTTTGTATTTCTTGAACATGCCAAGCAGGCTTCTGCCTCAGGATCTTTGTACTGTTCCCTCTGCCTGACATATCTGGCCTCACATATCCACACTGCTCACTCTCTCCACCTCATTCAAGTCTTAATCAAATGTCACCTTCTTTATGAGGCCTTTCATGGCCACCCCAGTCATTATTTCAACCCATGCCCACCCCACAGCACTTCCTGTCTCCCTCCCCTACATCATTTTTTTGCCAAAATTGAATAATCACCATATGCTATCTAGTGTGCTCTCTTACTTTGGTTATCATCGGTTCCTTCCCTCCTCCCCTGCTACAATGTGAAAACTTTTGTCTTTGTTTTTTTACTAAAATATCCCTGGCACATAAATAGATACTGAGTAAATATTTTTTAAATAACTGAACCAGTGAGTGAATTGAATAAGTGGGCACTTCCCCACTATACCAAACTCCTAATGCCATGTGGTGGGTGATTAAAATTTAATAGTTAATGGGGGGCTATCTGGAGAATGGCTTGGGGAGAGGGGGTTGTACTGGCTTACGGCTCCCATCTGGTTCTGAGTACACTTTCTAAAGCTGCATCCCCTGTTTGTCCCCCGCATTCAGAATAGGCTTCCAGAGAGATGACTCCAACCTACAGAAGGTGCTCTCAGGGGCTGGGCCTCTGGAGAAAAGTTCTGCTCTCTGAAATCTGCCCAGGAATGTTAATGAGGTGCTGAAGGGAAGGCTGAGTACTGCCTATCTTCTGGGAAGCTTACAGTACTTGCAAAAGGCTCAAGATGTGCAGATCCCCAGGGAAAGCTACAGAATAACAGTATAATCCCTACTTATTCATGGAACGTTGATTGTCCAAAATAGTATATTAAAAGTGGAAAGCCCTTATAGATCAGGGGCTCTTAATATTTCTTGTGTCCTGGACCCCTTTAAAAGTTATTAAAACTTTCCTCTTATTAATGCTTTTAAAAGCATGAAAGAAACAAATAGGATCACAAGGAAACCATATTAGAGTCCAGACTGCTATACAAAATATCATAGACTGCATGGTATTAAACCACAGACATTAACTTCTCACAGTACTAGAGTGCAGTCAGAGATGAGGATGCAGCCCTGGTGGGTTCTGGAGAGGGCTCTTCCTGGCTTACAGACCACCACTTTCTCCCTGTGGTCTAACATGGCAGAGAGAGCTCTGACATCTCAAGGAGACACTAATCCCATTTTGAGAACCGTACCCCACAACCTCATATAACCCTAATTATCTCCCAAAGGCTCCATCTCCAGATACCCTCATGATGGGGTCAGGGATCAGCATGTGAATTTTGAGGGCACAAAAACATTCAGTTCATGAGAAAATCTACCATGTTCAAATATAGCTATCAAAACATGTTTTAAAATTTGTGATAACCAGGGCAGTGTTACACAGCTATAATCCCAGAGGCTCAGGAAGCTGAGGCAGGAGGATCACAAGTTCAAAGCCAATCTCAGCAACTTAGCAAGACCCTGAGCAACTTAGTAAGACCCTGCCTCAAAATAAAATTTAAAGGGCTGGGGTAGTGGCTCAGTGGTAGAGTACTCACCTAGCACATGCAAGGCCCTGGGTTGGATCCTCAACACCACATAAAAATAAATAAAATAAAGGTATTGTGTCCAACTACAACTAAAAAATAAATAAAATAAAATTTTTAAAGGGTTGGGGGGGCTGGGGTTGTAGCTCAGTAGTAGAGTACTTGCCTAGCATGTGTAGGCACTGGGTTCAGTCCTTAGCACCGCATAAAAATAAAAAATAAAAAAAAAATAAAGGCATGATCTTCATCTACAACTACAAAAACAAAACAAAACAAATGGCTGGGGATGTTTCTTAGTGGTTAAGTGCCTGAGTTCAATTCCCAGTACAAAAAATAAAAATAAATAAAAATTTGTGAATAGTAATGTATACTAAGTAAGATCTTAGCCACAAGTCTAATAACTGCTGTAATTTCAAAGCAGCAAGGAGAATAAGTGATATTTTGAGAAAGCTGTAACTACTATAATATTAAATAAATAAATATGTGATTTAAATTAATGAAAAAAAAATCAGGTACAGTTAATACAATGGTGTTTTTTTGCCTGCGTTCATCAACAAACATCAGTTACAAGCTAGTAAAAACAAAGATGTACTATGAACCCCCACTATAAACCATCTTAGTATTCTTCCTTTAAGAAATGAGAAGTCCCAAGATGGGGAGACAGAGTAATACCCCGGCCCCTGACTCCCAGACAGGACATAGAACATCAGAAGAAACCCAGGGGACAGAGCAGGCCTGGGACAACTTGGAAAAGTCGTTTTGCTTATGACAAGGAGTCTAGTAAACAGAGAATTTCTATATTGCCTGCAGGACCACGTTCCTTGTCACTAGAAACCTCTCTGCATGTCCAGTCTGCTGCCATTGAGACCTAAGATATTTTTAATCTCGTATTTGAGTTTCCTCATCGGTAAAATGATACTGGTAACCGTACTTAACACACTGGGCTGTTGTGAGCACCTTATTAAAAAAAATATATATTGAAAGCTTTTATCACAGCACCTGGCATATTGTGTAAGATCAACAAATTATACTTATTAAATTACTGTCCTACTTCTAAATTCTTCCTCATGACAACAGGCAATCTGTTGGTTCAGCTGCGTGAGAAAAGTTCAGTGTCTGGGATTCTGTGAAAGCAACCCATAAAACTTAGAGATCCTATTTCCACCCTCCACCTCACTCAAGGTGTACACATCTAACAGGTTCTCTAACTTTCCTGCTCTGCATACCTATGCTTAAGTGCCAGGTAAATGAGACATTAGCCTGGGCCTCAAAATATTTAGCGGTATAAGGTAGAACTTCTGCTGAATCCACAAGAAAAGATACTACTCTGAAACAAGGTTTCCAACACAGTAATTTTCTGGGAAAGGGAAAAGAGTAGACACTGTGAAGGAAGGCTAATTTGGGAATCTGGGATACATGAAAGAGGCTGATATAGACCCCAAGATCCAGATAATGGGTGGGCTTTTGGTGGGTGATTCAGGTGACCCAATCCCTGGGGTTGAAGACACAAAGTAGAAAGGCCATGCCCCTTTTCCCATTCTGCTCTTCTTCCCTTCTGTGCCATGTCTTTCTCTGTCTCCACACTCCCTTCAAGGTCATTATCCAGGTCCACCTACATCATTTGTGGGTCCAGTACAAAGTGAAAATGCAAGATCCCTTGTTCAAATTTTTATTAAAAATTCCAAAATGGAGAAGGCAAAGAATTAAATCAAGCTGACGGGCATGGTGGTGC